TATTATTATTATTATTATTATTCCCCGTTTATTTTTAGGAAAAGCACAAAAGTGAGAGAGGAAAACATCACAAATTTCCTGCCGCTTTTCTCCGCCAGCTGAAGGAAGAGTGTCCAGGCACAATTACGGAATCCATTACTTTCGTACTAAGATAGGAGGGAAAAACTGGCCCGAGTGCCCCCCGGCCGGCCACAAGCGGCCACAAGGACATGAATATTTCATCAGCAAATCAGTTTCAATGTTATGTTTTCCTTTACCTTTCTTTTTCTGCCCTCCCCAGAGCTGCTCCCCCCTCACGACCGACAACTCCCGGGGCTGTGCCAAGAGACCAGGGCCGCCATCTTCAAACCGGAAACAGGAAATTCGTTGCCCGAGGACCAATCGCAGTCGGAGGTTGCACGAGATGTGGCGCCATCTGTCGCCATCGGCTCACGGGCAGGCAACTCGTTGATCAGAAAGGATATTAGGGGAATAACCTCTGTCCGGGAAGCAGATTTAGATAATGAGAAAAGTGTTGAGGGCAGATTAGATAAATTACCTGTGGTCGGGAGAGTAACATCCCTCCACCACTTTAGCGAGCCGATGACATCGGAGCACACAACGGCAAACAGAGAAGTCGACGATGAAGATGATGACGACGTAGACGACGAGGATAATGAATGTGGCGATGGTGGTGGTGGTGGTGGTGGTGGTTGTGGTGGTGATGATGATGATGGAAATGACACTGATGGGGGAGTGGATGTTTTGATGGACAGCTCAGTTCACAACTCATGTGACGTATTCGTGCTTCGACCTAGAGAAGCTGAACAACCTACAATGCCACAGTATTGTAACAATAACAGCAACAACAACAACACCAACACCACCACCAACAACAGTAACAACAGCAACAACATCAGCAATAACAATACAAGCTACTTTAATAATAACAATAACAGCAATAATAACGTCATTAACAACAACATTGACTTTTCAATAGAACAGAAAACTGTTCCCTATAAGCACGTGAACCTCGATGAAGACAGACCAAACTCGACCACGCCAGACAACATGATCATCGAGGCTAGAAAACAATCGAATGACACTCCCGTCCATGAGAGAAACGACAACTCCGCGCACCGCGCCGTGTACCCGGATGATTCAGCTCACGATGAAACGATGACAGAGGAAGAGGAGAATATAGATAAAATGAAAGACATGGACGAGATGGGGAAGAGAAAACAAAGGAGATACCGAACGACCTTCACCAGTTTTCAGCTCGAAGAACTGGAGAGGGCTTTCCAGAAAACACATTATCCGGATGTTTTCACACGGTAAGTAACCATTTGACGTATTGTAAACTGTCTGTTGGCCATTTTTTGGTTCTTTGATTTTCTTCTTTCTTTCTTGCATATTTTTCTTTTCACGTTTGTTTTGTGTTGTATACTATCTCGTTCAACAGGTAGTAAATGTTTTTGACAGTTTGAACGATCGATAGATAAACTGCCCTATTTAAGCACGGGTGTTGCTGTTGTTTTTTGTTTTTTATTTGTTTGTTTGTTTGTTTGTTTTTTCGGGG